GGGGAGACAGCCTGGGCGTGAATCCCTTTGGTACCACTTATTATTAGCTACGAGAATCTGGGGAAGAGATATATAAACTCTCTGAGCTATTGTTTTTAAAAGTACATGGAATACCTACTTCAGAGTGAAGATTTCGTGAGTTAACAAGCAAGTACTAAACAAATGCTACTATTGTTTCCTCAAATGGCTACTGCATGCAGGATTGATACAGAACAATCAGCACTCAAGAGTTTACCAAAATAGGCTCAGGCGAAAGCTTTTCTTCTTTAACAGGCTCAGGTTCTGGCTCAGGCACAGGTTCAAGCTCAGGCTCAGGCTCAGGTGCCTTTTCCAGTGGTTTTGATAATTTTTTGGCCATAACTTTTCCAGCAGCTGCCGTTTTTACATCCTGTAGAGCAAAGAGAGAATGAAATGTTTTTCTCCATCAAGGGCCACGGGTGTACTCTTGAAAGAGAGGTTGGGGTCAGGAAGATAAGCTACCTTTTTCAGAATCATTTTGGCCTGGGACTGTTCGCTGACTTTGTTACCGATGTCTCCAAGGGCGATCCTTGGCCTCAGCATGGGCTTGGAAGCGGCACCAGTAGCCATAGGCACTCGCTTGGCGCCTGCAACACCCATGGTCTTCGCCTTATTTTCAGTATTTACCTTCGTGTTCTGCAAGAAGCAAGACCACTTTAAGAGTTTTAGCCAGGCTGGAGGAAGTCAAGAGTTAATTAAGGTGGGGCAGAAGCGAGGGGTTTGAGGGCTGGAAATGGGCTGGGAAGGGAAACCAGGACCGGGACAAGTCAATTCACCACCACCACCCCTCGCCCCCACGACCCTCTGCAATCACTCGAAACGAGGGAATTCCGTGAAAGAAAGGCCCACAAATCCCAAAAAACAGTGGGATCGACATTGGAAAGAAACGGACGCCTCCAATTGCTGCCACCTTTTCCCCAGGAGCCCTGGTGGCTTAGCGGTTACACGTTGGGCTGCTAACTTCAAGGTCAGCAGTTCGAAACCACCAGCTGCTCCTTGAAGTTAAGAGGCAAGTTCTTACAGGAGTGCTGTGAGTTGCCATCAACTCCATGGCAGTGAGCTTGATTTGGTTCCCCCAACCCCAGGAAGGAAGTTTCGTGGTTGGTGGGGGCCCACCCTGCCCCCACCATGCATAGAAAAAAAATTATATATATATATGGTTTCCCATTGTCCCCTCCCCTCCCCCTAAACGCTTTGTTTTTTTGTCCATCTGTCCCTCCTTCCCCTAACCCCTCGCACTAGCAAGGAGTTCACCTCAGCACCCCCCACCTCCACCCCCTGTCCCGAATCGCTGGCGGAATCATCTCCGGCCCCGGGGTTCTGCAGGCGAAGAAGGGCGACTGGGCACCCAGCGAGGACGGCCACGTTTCTTCCTGGCTCGCAGCAACTCACCCTGGTGACTCGGAGAGCCATGGCTTCCTCTCCACCAGGCAGGAATCCAGAGGGAAAA